AACTTGATAAGACACTTTCTTTAAGGGTGTACTACAAACATTGGGCCAATGTTGGGCCAACATACTACTACCAACTTTAAAAGACACTTTCTTTAAGGGTGTATTACAAATATCGGGCCAACGTTGGGCCAACATACTACTACCAACTTTAAATGACACTTTCTTTAAGGGTATTACAAACATCGGGCCAACGTTGGGCCAACATAATACTAACAACTTTAAAAGTCACTTTCTTTAAGGGTGTATTAAAAACATCGGGCCAACGTTGGGCCAACATTATACTAACAACTTTAAGTCATTTTCTTTAAGAGTGTATTACAAACATCGGGCCAACGTTGGGCCAACATACTACTAACAACTTTAAAAGACACTTTCTATAAGAGTGTATTACAAACATCGGGCCAACGTTGGGCCAACATCAACATTCCTCCTTCCTAGGGAAGTAAAGTGAATGGAAGTTGCTAACGTTGGACCAACGTTGGACCAACATATGAATTCCGTCATGGTCGAGAAGGTTGGCATGGTGACATTGGTCCAACGTTGGCCCAACGTTGTTCCCCCAACGCCAACCATACAACTTTTTGCCAATGTTGGCCCAACATAGTCTTGCTATCTGGGACAGAGAAAAAATTCGAGAGTGAAAGTAGAAATCGTGTAGAAGTTCACTACAAATTAACCATCTCGAAGCTGAAGTAAAACACGCAATGTGACCGATGTTTTCCCAGATTCTAACAGTTCATTTTAATTGTTTTTATCATTGACGAGAAAAAAAATTGATATTTATTTTTATTGCATTTTAAACAGCTGGAACTCGGTGTCACATCTGACTCACACTTCAGAAATGGATCAAAACAGACTTTGTCGTCGAGACTCGAAGAACCCAGCTGTCTAAATTATAATGCCAATGGAACACAAAACATGTATTTAAAGTCGAACAAAATGTAAACAATTCCCACAGTAACTGTAATGACAGTGAAATTAACATTCACATAATCCAACTGATTTTTTAAATACTAGTACTTGTCCCTGCTTAACACTTGTCAATGTTTTGTAAAGAAAAAATTAATGAGCATTATTAAATTCAGGTTTAAGCAGAGAATTAACCATACTAATATTTGTTTACTTCTACTGCATAGTGCACAATGCAGAAAAGATACCTTAATGAAAAATATGGAGAAAAAGAGCAGACTACAGTCTCTATATTATACCATTCTTTGGTGCCTCCTTGAGGTGATGTTTTTTCAGGATAACCAGGAATAAAGGTTATTTATAAAATAGAATACAGGTAACTCTTGATGGCTCCAACTTCGATCTCTCGAAGTTCTTGATCGCTCGAAGTGAGTCTCCGGTCCCGATTTTTTCCACTATATAACTAAGCAAATTTACTCTTGATTTTTCGAGCTCTTGATCTCTCGAAACCCTTGATCCCTCGAAGTCAAAATGCAGTCCCGCTCTGCATATTCTATTCAAATTTACCTTCGATACCTCGAAGTGGCGTTGTGTATACAAAGTTACATAATTAGCAATTTTACCTGGACATTTAACGGCCCCAGGCAGAAGATGCGTGTCTCGTGAAACGGGATGTTTATTTAAGTGACACTAATACTGCAAGGTGATAATTGATTTATAATTAATCTTATATTGCCTATATGCTATCAACTAATTATCATTGACTGTATTACGATAATTTAGAAACGCAGTGTCACTGAGAAAAAGATTACAAGACAACACGCATAATGAATTTAATTTTTATTTCGAATCAGTGTCAGAGTTTAACAAAATGTGAAAATTCAGAAACAGCCTCGATGTCAATATGACGACTATTGTTGGACAAATACTAACAGAACTTCGTTAACTGCACATGTTTGGAAAAGTCGCAATGCTATGTACCACGCGACGCTTGTAAAATGTCGTTTTCATATAACGAATGCGAAGTATGATGTCCGTATGATAAAGAATAATAAATAAACATGAACTGACGATGTACATTTTTTGCTTTACTCAGTTTAACAAACATTCGTCTAAAATACCAATGTTTTATAAAAACCACTTGTGAAATGTTAAATCATTACATCCGGTAAAACTAATTTTAAAACCTATCAAATAAACCCGGAAAATTCCGAGCTCTTGATCTCTCGAAGTTTTTCCTCGGTCCCGCAGACTTCGAGGTATTTGAGAGTTACCTGTATACTCATAAATTTCATTTAGAAAAAAAATATAACTTGATCTGCAGTTTTTGCTTAAGAGACAAAATTAAACTAAATTTTGCTTTAGATCAGACCTGTGTGCAGCAATGCACAGAAAATTTGGTTTCTATTTATGAATATATTGATTGTATATTACATTTCAAAAAAGAGAACTTTTGATTAATTATTTTTTTCTTATTTTTGTAGGTATACTCGGTATAAAGTCTTGCTGACATGAACATGAAAGAAAAGGAATGTAGTTCATCATCTTAAGCGATCTTCAAAATACCAGGTAAAGTGCATATATTCTGAACACATATCAAATATTAAAAGCCATTTACCGGTATTGTGTCAGCCCTAAATTTTTTTCAAGTATCCTGGAAACACAAAGTCTGTTTGCCAGTCTCACTGTATAGTAATACATGTGTATATATGGAAGTTTATAGTTTTTAAATACTAGTAGCTTTTTTGCTCACCTTAGCTGAAGGCTCAAGTGAGCTTTTCTGATCACATTTTTTTCGGCATTTGTCTGTCCGTCCGTACACTTTTCACATTTTCAACTTCTTCTCAAGAACTATTGGACTAATTTAGCCCAACTTGCCACAAAGTATCCTTGGGTAAAAGAAATTTATTTTTTTTTTTCAAATGAAGGGCCACACCCTCTTTAAAGGAGAGATAATAATAAATCAATGAAAACATGTTTTAGAAATCTTCTTCTTAAGAACCACTGGGCCAGGAAAGATGAAACTCATGTGGAAGCATCCTCAGGTAGTGAATAGATTCAAATTTGTTCAAATCATGACCCCGGGGTAGGGCTGGAACTCTATGGCTGATCCAAGTTTTACAAAGGAATGCATAGGAAAGAACTTTTAAAAATCTTCTCACCATTGGGACAGGAATGATGAAACTCAAGACGTGATGTGGAAGCATCCTCGGGTAGTATAGATTCAAGTTTGTTCAAATCATGACACCCAGGGGTAGGGCAGGGCCACAATGAGTGATCACATATTTGCATAAGAATACAGAAGGAAAAAATCTCCGGAACAGAAAAAAGTGGTTAGTCAAATAAAAATGATCTGCAAATAGTGAAAATTTAAATTTATTCCAATAATGCCCCAGGGGTAGGGGGTTCGCGAAGGGTCACAATGGGAGATCAGGTAATGTTTTAAAAAAATCTTTAAAAACTTTCTTTTCAAGTACGGCAAAATTATACATGAATGCTGTGTTGAACTAGTGATTTTCTCAAGTAATAGAAAAATTCAAATCACCCTCCTCTAAAAAGTTAGCTTTTCAAAACTTAAAGCTGATCTGTGTTTTTTAAATAGCCCATGTGCTCAGGTGAGCGATGTGGCCGATGGACCTCTATTTATTAAATTTTAGACAAATTTAAATTGTTAATGTATTGCTCATGTTTTAAAATATTTTATTTTCAAATAATAATTATTATATATGTATTTTCATCTTTTCTTTTTCAGATTGGAAAAAAGAAAGAAGATTTGTAGCATTGTATGGAAGATACCTGATTAAAAATATTAATGGATAAATTGGTGTTTTTCTCTTTTCTTCAGAAAAGTTGAAATTGGAGGCAATGCTCAGAATTTTAGGGATTTTGTTGAAAGAGCCGATTGGTCCCTTTACCCTTTTGGATATATTCAAATTGAAAAGAAAGTGACACCGGCGTTGATGTCAACATGCAAGCTTAGCTTTTTGCAGTGCTAAAATGATTACATGTAGTTTCAGTTAAGCTTCTGCTATGATGTAATAACATGTATTTTTCTGGAAGAATAGGAAGGAAAATTCCAAAAATATGCACACAATTTTTATGCATTTTAACGTTAAATAAGTGACTATTTACGTTAATTTAACACTTAATGTTAATTTAACATGAAAATAACGTTAATTAAACGTGAAATTTTTTAACGTTAAATTCATGTATAAGCTCGATTGACGTTAATTTAACGTTAAATATTTAACGTTAAATTAACGTTATTTTCATGTTAAATTAACGTTAGGCACAACTGGCTGTGTACTCGTAAACTAATACTTACATGTAATTGAAACAAGAATAATTTATTACACAACTTAAAATAATGATGTCGATACTAAAAGTGTTGATTACGTTTCAAAGACTAATATTTATCGACTTTAATTTGTGTTTGTTTAAATTTCTTAATTTCAAACCCAATTTGTCCCCGGACTATAAACATAGAAAAAAACTTGGAATGCCCTGACTTTGCAGTCAACTTGAGACTTTTTAAAAATTTTCTTTGACACAAAGGTTATTAGACTAAATCATGATTTTTACGTATATGTCAATCATTTTGAATTATTCAATCACATTATAATCATACACTACAACCTGATATTCTTATTGGTGAAATAAACACTTGTATCTCTGTCTGATTGAAACATTTAAAAAAAAAATGATATAACGTACCTTTAAATTGTTACTTTATTTGGCCTTTACCTTTTTTGACAACAAGAAACATTAAATAAAATCGTAAATAGACAATAAATGATAAAAACTTAATGCTCTATACATGTACATGTTACTGTATATTTATCTGCCAAAGTATTAACAAATTCCTAATGATTCAGTTTTTTAATGTAAATACTAGGGTTGTACATGTAAAAAGTATTGAGAAAACATCCCTTAATGTGTACAATTAATGGACAGAAGCATTGTTTTCTTTCTTGGAATTAATTTATTAATACTCGTATGAATTATGCATATACAAATAAAATGTATAAGAGGAAATATCTATTGGTGAGTAGAATTAAAGGATAAAAAACATTGTTTTTGTTGAAACTCACCTTTGTATTTCCAGGAATGGAACAAGGATCCTTCGGGGTTATGACGATCAGTGTGGTAAATTCTCACTTCATCTTCCAGACCCTTGGACATGTCAACGACCACAATATAGAACGCTCTCCGTGACAAGTAAACCTGGTGACATGCGTAATAAGCCACTTGTCCGGCAAAGTCTGTCATACTGATCAGCTTTGTACCACGACTGCTGTGAAGATGAATACCATGGATAACCATTCGTTTTTCCTCTTCATCGGGCCATACAATTCTTCCAGAAGGAATATTTCCCTCATTATCGCTGAAATCTGATGATGTGAAACGAAAAAGGAACTCATAAATCAGCATATGAACAATACCTTCCCTAATGCAAACAAAATGGGAATTGCTTCTAGTGGTTTTTTTTTTAATTTGAACGTTTTAAATGCACGTGTTCTTGAACTATTTGAAACTATTTGAAACATTGTTGAAATATAAAAGTTGAGTTACCATGCAAAGTGCCATCTTTAACTTCAAACAAATCTTCATGAACCTGGAGGCCAATAGTTGTCTCTGTGGGTTGATGATCTTTTGTGTATTTCCTTTGAAGCTTCCTAAGAAGAGTTGTTTTACCTGCGCCTGCGCATCCCACAATCATACCTCGTGCACGAAACATTTCTATTCTTCCATGGCGGAGACTCTCGACAAATCTTTCTCTGGAACTCAAATCCCACTTCAAAATTTCCTCCGGTATGTTTACTGGATAAAGTTTTAAAAAAAATTGTATAATTTTATTTGTATTAGTAGAAGTAGATGATAATTATACCTAATTTTCTCTCTAATATTGGATGCATTGAGCGTTGATCTGCAATTAAAATAAAAACAATTGGACTAATAGGACACAAAATGTGCTATTTATGACATGGACATGGAAATGTACATGTGTACGAGGGTTGTCCGTAAAGTTCGTGGACAACTTTAGTAATTAGTGACAAACACTGATAAGATATATGAAACTATTATTTTCATTAAAGTCATATTTCATTTTATTAACATGCAAGTTTTCAACAAAAACAAAGCACAAATAGTTTTATTTTTATCAGATTAAATAAGACACACACTCATACCCGGAGCACTAAACTGAACATTCTTGACGTTACCCGACGTCAAAAGCATAATAATAATAGAAGTTACTGTAACTTTTTTTTCAATATAGTCACCATTTAACTCAATACATTTCTTATGTCGCTTAAACCAGTCATAAATATGTAAAAAATTGTTCAGGTTTCATATTTTTAACAATGCCTGTCTCATATCCTGCAATCCTCCAACCTCTGTCTGCGTAAAATGGATTTTATTTACGGAAATAAGGTAAAGTCACGTTACGAAATTAATTTTTTACTGCACTGCAATCCCGGAATGATGGTTTTTCTTCACGCATGTCATCCTGTAAACCGTCCCTTTCGGACCAAAATATTATATGCCACTTAAATACTAATGTACGTCTTCTTTTACTATGTTTTCTTGATTGTTTACAAAAAATATAGGTCTCTGTAGGTGTTTATCAGATGTCTACGCAGAATTGTATCATTGCTCACTGCTCCACCTATTCCGAAAACGTCCCTTTTTTGAACAATTCCGACCACTCTTTCTATGTTCTAACTTTGATTGCTCAGCCATTTTACAACTTAAAATGTTCAAATTCTGCAGGTTTGTGATAACCTGTGTCAACCTCGTAATGTAAAAGTCATTAATATTTCTGCAGAATTTTTGGAAATACAGATGAAATTTATAAAATGATATATAATTTTTTAATTAAAATTTTGCGGTGCTCCGATGTCTAATTATGAAGACATAATTGTAATTAAACATTTGAAATTGAATCAAATTTTACATTTCTCAGTTCTGTAGTAAAGGATTAGAAATATGCCAATAATGAATATCAATGACGCAATATTTATATAATTCTTGGCTTGTCCACGAACTTTACGGACAACCCGCGTATGTATAAAAATAACTTAATACCGGTGTACGATTTTGACATACGTTTGGAATATATGAGGCTGTAAAGTTCCTTTACTACTTAGTGTTATATGCTTTTGATTGGGACCGACTGTGAAGGTTTCACAGTTCTGCGCCTTTATAAGGCAATATAGTATTAGAGCAACAAGTGCAAGAGACAGGACACTAAACGATAATCCAAGAAAAGGAAGAAAAACTGTATCTTGCAGGACTCTAACTGGAGACTAATTTAGTCCTTATTTCCCTTCCATTTTTTTATTTGCACCTAAAATTTGTGTCTATTTCAAATTGATTTTATATTACGTCAAATTCCCAAGTTATAAATATTTTTTTATTAAGTGGTACAATGAAGTAACAAGTTTAGAGAGGTTTTGTGTTTTCTATGTCACCTATTATGTCAAATTGTTTGTTTTTATAGTTGCTACTCGGATATACCAACGAAATTTCGACAAAATAAGAGGAAAATAGCTTCCCCCAGGTAATTCTCTTTACCAAAAAATTGATAGTTGTCAAAACAAACTGAAATTATTCATTATATTGAAAATAAAATCCCTTGGTTCACCGTTTCAGAAGCTAGTTTAATAATCCTGTGGGGAGCCCCTAATTTCCTTTAGTTCCCATGGATACATATCAGTCCTGTGGGAAGCCCCTCGTTATACTTTATATAGTAATGTTAAAGCGTGCTCTGGGTAGTACCCGGGAAAAATTTTAGCCGATAAACGTGTTCGTCTAGTGCTACTAGGGAGCCTGTCCATAAAATACCACATAGTCTTGAGAATTGTTTTCTTTAAAGAATGTTACAGAATGTGTGAACTACGGGGTATTGGAATTCTATATTAGAGAGTAGTCATCTCTATGTGCTGGTGTGTGACAGAGACCGTAGCGTGTGAGTGACTTATGGCGGAATATGTCTAAAACCGGTTTTGTGAGTTATAACCGGGCGGTAACCCACGTGGAACAATTTAATCACCAATATATGAACAAAACATTGTGAAAGTTTGAGAAGTATTCAAATTATGAATTTGAGAGTAATTATGAATATTTAGTTTTATTGAAAGACATTGCTTAGTGTTGAACTTGGCGTCGGACCATTGTCTCTTGAACCCAAAAGGAACCCAGTGTGCCACACAGCCCTTTTTAAATAAACATTGTTCCGTGCAGCCCAATAAAAGGAAAGTGGAAAAATCCATTCTAAAAGGATTTCCGCACTTACGGAAGGACCAAGGCAACCGGGACCAATTCATTACTAAGGGAAATGCGCACTGACTGACGTGGACCAGGGCCAACTTACAAAGACATTTTCAATTTATATTATTTTGTACATTTTTTGGTTATTTTTCTTTGTTAAAATTTCTGTTTATTTTGTTCTTTAATTTTGTTATTAAATTTAGTAAAAATTTTAATGTTTTTCTTTTGATTTTTGTAAGTTCATCAGGGTGTATAACCCACACCTCACACAGCCCCAAAGTGGAAAGAAGGTGTTGTCAATTATTTTTCAATTTTCTCACTTATTATAGATACATTTATTATCTTAATATAAATGTAAGACTAAATTAACAAAATACTCTTTGTCTAAACAGTATTTAATGGTATGATATTTTCTTGGAATGAAATCATCGATAAAACTTTTAATTATAAGAGTTTCGCTATCGTTGCAAACTAAGAATCTTCTCTCTTTCTGACAGTTAGGAGATAGCTTTATGCGGACAACGTAAAATCCCATTAGACGGGGAAGTTAAGAATTCATGTTTAAGCTAAAACTTTTGGATTTTAGTGATTTTTTTTTATTTTAATGATTGCAATTGACACCCGTCTCCTTTGCTTATCTTCAAGAGTACTAATATTTACAAGTATCGGATTTTAAGTTTGGACCCTAAAATTTGTCTGACGACATTAGTATTTTAATCATTTTATCTTTACCTGCCTCCTCATAGGAGCATTTCTCTGGCTGTCAAAAAGTTAATACAAGACGACAAAAGTAGTTGTCTTTTGAGAACAGTAGTACTAGCATATTAAATTTTGTGCTCAGTGTTTGTTGTATACATGTAGAATAGAGAAATGAAGTGACCATTTACGTTGATTTCTTACAAGAGGAATTAGGATATTTATATTGAAATGCACAAAAAAATTCACTGACAGTGTGCAACAAAATGGCAAGGTTTGTGTAAATTACCGATATTATGGTTGGTAGCATTGGATTTTTGTGAAAAGTGTTAGTTTATCAATTTTAATATTTACTTTCATGCATTGTAGATAACCAGTTGCATATCTGATAACTGCAGTTGGTATGTATTAAATCTTTAAGATACATCCATTTTGCAACCCCATTTAAACATAAGTGCATTTATATTTCAGGGTGTTGTTGCTTAACAGAGTTGAATTCATCATTATCTATAAATAGTATTGCATAATTATTATCTTGTTTTTACTAAGTTCCCCATTCTTTTTCGATTTCCGAAATGTTTTGTTTGCGAATTACATGTATCAGACACTTCTATGATTTTTTTTACATAAAGTACAACATGTATATATATATATATATATAGGATCTCCCATGATTTGTAGTTGGATATGATTTTTATCCAACGAGTTGTGTGAACTTTATCCCCGAGCCTTGGCGAGGGGATAAAAACACACAACGAGTTGGATAAAAATCATATCTAATTACAAATCATGGGAGATTCTTTTTATCCCATGTTTACTACTTCACAACTGATGTTTTACATTGGTTTTATAAGGGACTCCGCTATATTTTTCTTCATCATGCTAACGCAAAACCATTGTGACGTCATAACTGCACTTAAGTGTGGGATATGAAAAATTTATATATATATATATATAAAGCACTAAAAATGACCAACGACACGAACAATAAAAATTGTCAAATTTTCGGGACGCCCTGTCCCTTCCTCAGGACAAAAAAAACGTTAAAAAGTCATAAGAACAAAGGAAAAAGAGAAACAAAAACAACTAGCACTACTACTAAACTACTAAACACTAGATATTTACATACTTAATTACATGATGAATTGGAAATTTTTAAGAACACTAATAAAGAAAGAAATCCGGACCGCTATGAAATGCGTCCGGTCTATCGGGTATACTCGGGTGAATATATATATATATATATATATATATATATATATATATATATATATATATATATATATATATATATAAAGCACATTTTACAACAACTCTTAAACTAACATAACTGCCCTAAGTGAAGAAATATTAATATAGAAAGCACAAAGAAATTCACTTTTACATGGATACCCACTTCCGCCCCAGCCCGGGGTTGAACTCTCGACCTTCGGAATCTGTCTCCTAGCAGTGCAGGAACAGTGCGCTAGACCGCTCGGCTATCTAGGCAAGTCAAAAAACTTGCTTTTGATGCCGATGGAATTCTCGCGGCGCTGTCCTACACTACACGGTCATTGAGAATAGAAGTGAGATACAGTTATTTGGACATTAGTTTTAGCAGAGGATTGTTACCAATACACGTTGTAATGAAATTAATTATTATTTATAAAGCACATTTTACAACAACTCTTAAACTAACATAATCTATATTAATATTTCTTCACTTAGGGCAGTTATTCCAATATTTTAAGATGCGTCTTTTTAATCCTTTGATTCTCGGATTATATTTTGTAACCATAAGTAATGGATTGCGGAGTTTAGATTCATTGTTGTTTTTGTTTAGCATCTTATTTCTGTCCGTTCCAGTTACGTCT